CTGGTGCAGATAATGAGCCTAATACCTGCTGAATAAATTAGTTTGTGAGGTAAATAATTCATCTTAGGCTTAATCCCTGTCTAAATTCTATTAAAATACAATCACATTGCATTAAAAAATGTAATTTGTAAAGGCTACAAGAATGAAAGATTGTTTGTTTCTAAAGGTAATGCTAAGTGCTCTGGCCGGTTTGGCTCAGCGGTTAGAGCATCCGCCCGCGGTACGGAGAGACCCGGGTTCGGTTCCCACTAAGGGCATGTACCTCGGTTGCAGTTTGTCCCCGGCCCTGGTTGGTCGTGCGGGTGGCAGCCACTCGATGTGTCCCTTTCACACCGATGTTTCCCTCTCTCTCTCTCTTCCTCTCTCTCCCTCCCACTCTATCTGTGCAAAAAATGGAAAAATGTCCTCGGGTGAGGATAAAAAACAAAAATAAAAAAAATAAATAAAGGTAATGCTAAGTGACCCAGGGTCCCAGTTGACTGAAACAGCAGCCATGGAATGAGCGAGGAATAATGATTTTTGAAATCAGATTAACATGAGTTGAACCACTATATTCCCATGCTTATTAGTAAGAATACAAGTTTTAATCAAATTATTGTTTGCTTAGAAACACCTTCATTTATTAGAAGCCTCCTTATCAAATGTCATGAGGATTTGTGGTTAGCGAGTTAATTTTTAAAATACTTATTAAAAGCATTCAAAATGGACCATGTAAATACAAAAATGTAAATATCTGTGGTGGCTGTTACTGTGGTGGCCCTTCATGAACCAGGCTTCTTGGTATTCACACCCTTTGTATAACCACCTACTCTTGAACCTAGAATGACCCTGATGACCCTGGAATGTAGCAAAAGTGACTCTGGGCCAGTTCAAACCTGAGCCTTACGAAGGCCACCTCTGTAATCCAGAGGAAACTGGCCACCGTGTCAGAAATGCAATCATCCTAAGGCTGCATGGTCTTGGACGCCCAATCTAGCAGGTGGAGAGGCTGTAGGAAAGGCAGCCCAAGTAAGCCAAGCCTTGCTGAGCTCCCAGCTGACAGCCAGCACCTACCTGCTTGCTTGTGAGTGAGGCTATTTTGGACCTCCCAGCTGTCCCTGAGACCAAGCCAAAATCACGAGAAGCAGAAGAACCACTCAATACCATAAGAGATAAAAGATTTTTATTTTAAGTCATTAATCTTTAGTATGGTTTGTTAAATTATAATAGATAACCAACACACGTACAAACTTGATCATTTTATTTTCACTTCAAGGCCATGAATGGGTTTAAATCCACACTATTTTGATGACGGTCACAGTAGTCCCTGAAGAAGTCACATACACCACAACCAAAGAGTAGCATCTGCAATGTCCACTCTCTATTTCTTTAAAATAGAAAAAGAATTTAAAGACTTTTGTGGAGCAATTTTTAGGATTTTTATGGTTTTTCTTCCTAAACCTTAATAGTTCTCTCCTATCCCTAACTTAATGGCAATTTTCTTTTGTGACCTACCTCTAGACTTTCCAAAGCATTCAAAATTAGTTTATACAGAAACTATAAATCACTCTGAATTCACCTTATATATTTGTATAACAGTTTACTCAATTATGCAAACACAACCAAAATGTGCAATAAGTCTAAACAGACCTAGGAACCAGGAACTCTTGACAAGCATATAGTTCACCTGGTGGGAACAGACAATCACAGACATTCTAGAGAGCAGCCTGTTAGTCAGAAGTATTCATGATGCTGTGACCACCAGCTGGATGTTCTGTAGAAGAAATGGGCAGGGTCAGGTCTTGGAAGGGGGTAGGTAGATGAGAAGATAAGGCCTGCCTGATTCAGATCTCCTGGTAGTCATTTACTTCGTTCACAAAATATACTTTTTCAGCCCTTAATTAAGAAGAACAAAAAGAATAAAGACAGAAAAATAGTGTATAGAGAAAAATTACCCCAGATGGAGAAATTTTACTCAGTATTAGAAATAAAAACAATTATAAGCTGTTTATAAAATATTTTCAGATAATGGCTTTCAGAAAATAAACATATAAAATCATATATAAATGTACCAAAATGCTTTAAAGACTTCACATTATTTGTCACTCTTGTTTAACCAGAAGACTACCTAAAAAAAATGAAAGCAAAAAGAGAGAGAAAGAGAGAAATGCTCTCAGCATTTAAATACATGAGTAATATTATAGATGAAAGACAAATTATTTCTATTATTTCTGCAATTTTGCTGCGAACAGGTGAGGACTTAAAATCAAGCGGACAAAGAATAAGATATTTTTCAGGCATGCTTTATTTTTACTAGGTCTTATACCTCAAAAAAAATGTGAGTATATCTATACTATAGTCAAAGCTTTGCCAAGTCAATATTAAGTTGTATGTGTAACAGAGTAGCAAGGAGACAATCAAAATGGAATGACTGCACCCTTCCTAGATGCATCTGGTTGTACAGGTGGAGTGATGCAGGGAGCACAGGTGGGAGGGAGGATGTCCTTTCAATGCAAGAAGTGAAAATAAGCACCAGTTTGGTCTCATTGTACATGCATTCTGCAATGAAATGCCAACAACGACAAAAAATATTTCAAACAGAAGCAACATAAAAGTGATGATTCACTCAAAATGCCGTTTGAAGTTTACCTAAATAAAACTACGGGTCTAAGGCAGGGGAAGTTTGGAATATGGAAACACAAAGGGCCTTATACTATGCCAAATGCATACCAAACATTCGAGTTTAAAGAGAAAAAAGAAAAACGTTTAAAACTTTAGAGATAGTAAAAAATAATTATGATCTCCCTCTATCTACTCTTCTTATGAATGAGAACATTTTTACATTTCTTTATTCTAAATAAAATTTATGTGTGGAAAAAACATTTTGTATCATGATTACTTTCCTCTCATTCTTAGAAATTAAGTAGCTGAAGAGCCACTTCATAATGAATACATGAGCTATTTGACTCTCCTTAGCTCATGTTATCTTTTTTCCTAATTTGGATTTTAAAAATAGTTAACTATAGGCCCTGGCCGGTACCTCAGTTGTTTAAAGCCAAGGTTGTGAGTTCAATCTCTAGTCAGGGTACATACAATGAATGCATAAGTCAGTGGAACAACAAATATCTCCATCTCGCTCTCTCATAAAAAAATTTTAAATTAACCATAAAATATATTCAAAAGATGAACTCCACCTATTAGAATACAAATCTAGAAAATACAAGCATATAAGAATGGTTTAAAAAAAAAAGTGGGAAAAGCAATTAGGACAATTTAGACATTAAATCTCTCACTCCTGCTTTGACATGAGCACAAAAAAAGCTCATTTATCTGGGAACCAGATCTTGGTTTCCAATACCATGCTCCAATAAAAGAACCAGGACTCCCCGGAGAAATGGCTGACTGACTTCAGGGCTGGGGAAAAAAAAAAGACGTAACATGAGCCCGGTGCCAGCAAGCAAGGAAGTGCTCAAAAAAAACCAATGGGAGTATGTTAGAAGGACAGGGCTCCTGCGGGCCAAAGCTGGAACAATATGAGCAACAAAACAGATGACACAATACTGGATTATAACCACAAATCTACGATTCCATATTAATATAGTTACTAAATAAATAAATGGGAGAAGAGACAATCTGTACAGAAAAAAATCCTAGTAATTTATGTAGATACTCCCCTCTCAATGTGTTTAGTTCAACTCCCCACCACTTACTGGGCTGCAGCACCTTTAGAGACTTAGTTTCAAGGAGTAGAGAAAAAAAAAGCAACTTTACAGTGAAGAAACCCGACAATCACTATTCTATTAGCAGTTAGCCAGGTGATCAGGGTTAATTAACATCATCAGTGATGATGCATGTTGAGAGCATGTGCCCCTCATATGATGACAAGGACGCTACCTCTGTGGTGGTCCTCCCAAAATCCATAAGCCCAGTCAAACCATGATAAAAACAGCAGGCAAACCCAAACTGAGGAAAAGTCTACAAAATACCTGACTAGTACTCTTTAAAACTGCCCAAGTCATCAAAAACATAAAGTCGGAGTAGCAGCCAAGAGGCAGCTAAGGAGACAGGGGGACTAAATGTAATGTGGTATCCTGGATGGGACCTGGGGACAGGAAAAGAACAGTATGGGAAAACGACTAAAGTCTGAATACAGTACAGAGGTTAGTAAATAATAATGTATCAATATTGCTTCATTAGCTGTGACAAATGTACACAGTAATGTTCAACAATAGGAGAAACTGGAAATAGCATACAGGAAAATTCTGTAAGATCTTTACAACTTTCTCTAAATCTAAACTATTCCAAAATTAAAAGTTTTTTTTTTTTTTTAAGAATTAATTTAATGACATTATATGGAACAGTTCCATAGCAATGTTGAATAAATTTGGTGTTACTCTACAAGTATAAAAGACTAAGAGCCAGGACTAAATGGGAAAGTGTAACATTAATTATAAAATTAAGCAATGCTTTATGAATATAACTGGCGATTGTGGTTTTAAAAGTTTTTTAAATGGTAGGTGAGGAAATGCCATTTAAAATAGTGACTTCCAAAATAGATTTCTGTTTATGTTTTTAATCAGTTGTATAATTTATTACACAGTAATGAGCAATTTTCATTGTAACAGTATAATTGCTACCATTAGGTACTGAGTACTGACCATCTGCCAGGCACTATGCTAAATATCACACATAATCTTATTTAATCCTTGGCAGAGCCTTACGGTACAATTTTAGTAAAGGATTCTTTCCCTAGACGGCCAATTCTCACTAATTGTGAGAGGTACCTGTTACCAAATACCTATTATTACATACTAGATATTCAATTAAGCACTTTACAAATGTTACCCAATTTAATTTTCCCAACAACCCCCACAAGTACTATCACAATCCCTATGCTACAGAATAGGAAAAAGTGGCACAAAAGTAACTTGTCTGCTCCGCTGGTAAGTGTCTGGACCAGAACTGGAGTCCTGGTCCAACCCCAAGGCCCAAGCCCCTCCCACCTCCAGCCCATCACTCACACTTCTAGGTCACTGGGTCGGTCATCTGCCTCTCCCAGTGGCAGGCAGATGTTACTTCCCCTGTGGAATAAGAAGGTATTACTCATACTTGTGGAATGAGGTCCCCATCAACTTGGAAAAAAATTTGAGGGATAGTTTCAGAGATCAAGTCCTCTGCTCAGCTGTAGAGCTCACAACTTTGGTAAAACCTTTTAACCACTCTAAGTCTAGATTTCCTGACCTATAAATAAAGGTGTTAGCCTTGGTAAAATATTGAGTCTAAATAAATTCAGGCCTAGGGAGACCTACCTTGGCTACAATTTAAATGGGGGGGGGGGGCGGTGGATGTGAGGGTTTTGTATGGCTTACTTATTTCTGAGTAGCAAATAAAATGTCGAACTCAAATCCTCTCTCCTTCAGGTTCCTACCAACTACAGAACTACACCTTGCTGTCCCCGGAGCACCAACCTACTGTTCCTCGAACAGAGCATCGACAGATCAGGCCGGTGTTTCCCTGCATTCTACAATGGTCCTGCTGGACAAGTGCTGTACTAGAAGTTGAGGAAAAATACAGTACTGAACAAGAGAGTCACCACTCCTGCCCTCCTGGAGAGTTCAATCAATAGAAAGAACCAGATAGTTAGCACATAAGATGTAAGTAAGCACACACACAAATCTTTAAAGTACAGTTCTGAATTATACTATTAAGGAAGACTACAAAGCATACCAGTAGAGAGGATCTAGGCTGGAGCATCAGGAGGGTGGTATCGGAGACTCCTAAGAAGGGATGTTTAGATGCGACCTCCACGCTCTGAAAGCACTGACCAGAAGAGGGAGGGAAAGTGGCTGAGACGGAAGGAACAGCGACTGGAAAGGCTCGGAGACAGGAGAGCACAGGCTCCCTGAGAAAAGGACAGGCCACGCTGACCAGAGCAGAGCGGCAGAGGGAACAAGAGTGCCCAGGGCAGGCAGTCATCAGAATACACTGTGCCCTTCATCCTAACAGAAAGGTGCCGCCAGGAAGGGCAGTAAGTAGGGGAGTATAGGGAGTAAATCTAGTTTTCTTTCCAAAGCATTTACCACATCACCCCTTTGACTATTTCACGCACAAGATTTCACGACTATTTAATCTTAAAATCAACGTAAAAGCTATTCAGTCTATACTATTCACACAAGCAAGACAAATTCACCTGCCAGGAGCCAAGAGCGGAAAAAGAATTGTTTACTTGAGAGGAACAATGCCTTTAAGAATTATGAAATCCTTAAAAATGACAGGTTAACCTCTAAGAGGAAAACACTATCCAACATCAAAGATGTAACAAAGATACACACAAATAAAATGTCTCATGAAAAATATAACTTTCTTCTAATTAAAAACTATGTTAACTGGAAAACATTTAAATGGATCTAAAAAAATTTAGAAGAAAAAAATTAAAAAGCTCCTATTTTTAATTTTAAAGTTTTCTTCACTAAGGAGAACACTACTGGTAACTGTGGTTGAATACATAAGCCCAATGTGAAATTTACTGGAAAAATGGGGCCTAACGTCCTGTGTATTCCAAATATAAACACCATGTACAGTTTCAGAAATGTCTCAGAGCATATAATTAAATGCAACATGTACAAAATATAGAGAATGTAAAAAAAAATAGCTAAAGTATGAAAATTATATTACTTTATATCTCAACCATGGGTACTATGAGTGTCCTAAAACTGAAAGTACATTTTTATCACAATGCATATCTCAGAGTCCACAGTCTACAGTTTTCATCAGATTCTCAAATGCAGTCTATGACTCAAAAAAGGTTAAGAAGCACTGACCTAGACAATATTTACCACACATTTAGCAAGGTTCTCTTTTCAAAATATCTCATCCTAACATATATTAGATACTCAAAAGATAAATGTATTAGATGCATAATTAACTCAAAATCAATGCTCAAGCTACAAGGTGGCTTCCACACACAACCTCACTCCCAACCACATGTACCAGCTTTACACAAAACTGACTTTTAAAAATCACACGGCAGAGCCTTTTGGGAAAAAGATTTTAAGTAAACGTGGAACACAAGGGTTTGGTGAATGAGAGAAAAAGAGAATGGTTCATATGATACAATACTAGAAGTGTGAAAGCAGCTGAAAGAAACATGACAAGAATAAAGTTATTTATAAAACTGACAACAGGGTAGAGCCAAAAGAATAAGAGGTTTAAGCAGAAATTTTCCAGTGATGATTTTCTTTGTGCTTATCTTCACTGAACTTTTGAATCTATGGGTTCATAGTGTTCATCAGATTTTAAACATTTACTGCCATTATTTCTTAAAATATATATATTTTTTCCATTTCTTTCCTCCTTTAGAAACTCCAATTACACATATACTGATTGTCTGGTATTATCCCACACTCACTGATGTTCTGTACATTTTTGTCTGACCTGTATAATCTCGGTACAACATTCTGCATAGTTTCTATAGCTATGTCCACAAGTTCAATTTTTTTTTTCCTACAGTGTCTACTCTGTTTATAACCCCATTCAGTGTATTTGCCATTTCAAATATTATACCTTTCATTTTCAGAAGTTCCATTTGGGTCTCTTTTATATCAATTATTATTCTCCAATGTTCATGTTTTCATTTAATACTTGAACATAATTGTAACTATTTTAATAATTCTTTCTTCTACTTCTAACATTTTTCACATTTCTGGGATTGTTTCTATTGACTGATTTTTCTCCTGGTTATGGACTCATCTGTTCCTGCTTATTGGCATGGCTAGTAATTTTTGACTAGACGTTGAACATTGTGTTCTATTTGTTGATGTTCTGGATATCACTGTCTTCTTTGAAGGAGGACTGGACTTTGGTTTTTTGCAGGCTGTTATCTTATTTCCAACTCCATTTTATCCTTTCAAGACTTGTTTCAAGCTTAATTAAGGTAATTACAGGTATGCTTTTACTCTAGGGAATAGTTTAGCCCCACTGCTCAGATGTGAACCTTCTAAATATTGAATGTCCCAAGTGGACAAACACAACAAAGACTTTCTATTTTGACCTATGAGAACTCAAATGCCTCTTGGCCCCATGTGAGCTCTGGGAACCTTTCAGCTCACAGTTCCTCAATGGCTCTTTGCTGAACCTTGTGGAATTCCTATCCCATGCAAATGAACTCTGTATTCAAAGACTCATAGAGGCCTTATGTAGATTTCTGGCTCTTTTTCTACATCATTCCTTCCTCTCCAAAACTCTGTCCTCAACTTCCAACTGCCTCCATGAACTCCAATCTGCCTCAATTCAGCAAGACCACTCTGGCTTGCCTGGAATTTCCTTCCCTGCATCACTGTCTGGAACATCTTGTTTGTTAACCTTGTCTCAGAGATGACAATCATGTACAGCCTACTGTCCAATGTCTGAAAGTAGTTGTTCTATATTTAAGTTTATTCCAAATATCAACAAAAATAACTTACTGTATACCACTAAAAGGCAAATTTATAATTTTTTTCTGAAGTATTGTTCTGTGGATTTTCTAGTGTTACAATGAAATGATACATAATCTATTCCATCATATATATAGCAAAAGTAATACTTGACTTTCAAAGTGACGAACTCTGCAATGAAGCTATGTTATAATCGGATCAAATAGCAGTTTCTTTAGAGAATTAAGGAGAGGGAAAATTTTGTTTAAAAACAGATAAACAGCTATTAGAAAGAAAGATCTCTTGCCCTTTGAGACAACATGGAGGGACCTGGAGAGTATTAAGCTAAGTGAAATAAACCAGTCAGAGAAAGACAAGTATCATATGATCTCAATTATTTGTGGAATATAATGAACAAAATAAGGTGATGAACAAAAGAGATCCAGAGACACAGAAGTAGGAAACAGACTGACAAACCTCAGAGGGGAGGGAAATGGGGGGGGGGGGGGGCAGGAATATATAAACCAAAGAACTTATATGCATAACCCATGGACACAGACAACAGTGCAATGAAGGTGGCGGGGAGGGGGCAGGGTCGGGGATAAAGGTGGTAGGGAGGAGGATCTCAATGGGGGGAAAAGGAGGGACAACTGTAATACTTTCAACAATAGAAATAAATTTTTAAAAAAGAAAGATAAACATAAAGAGGTAAACATGATCTCATTTTAAGAGGTTAAAATATTTAGATAGTCGAATCCAACCCATTTATTTTGTAGCAATTTAACCTCTCTGGACTGTTTCTAATTTACATAAGACCAGAAAGATTCTTCATGAATTAGAATTTTAAGGAAGAATAGAAAATATCTAAAACTCAGGATTTAACAGATAAAGCTGATGCCACTTAAATATCCAAATAGATAAAAAATGACATACTTCTCAACTATAGATGGTACCAGAAGACCGAAAAAATACCATTTTTGGCAGTTCCTCATATGCTTGTCAGAAAAACTACACATAGTTCTACTCTAATTTCTACTGCAAAGGAGAAAAAAAAATCATTAACACAAACAAAATGTCACTAAATTTTTCTGGCTTGGCTAGGACCATCCAAACAATAATTCTAACACATTAAGTCAAGAAGCTACTCAATTTCTGAAAGCTTATAATTAATTATACAAATGTATCCCTCATCTACAAGAATCATTTTAACTACATTGAGTTTAAACATTTCTGTATAGCTTAATATTATGTTGGTTAATCACCAATACTTTTGTTGATGGTTTTTCCCTAATCTATGACTCTTCTTTCTGTGCATACAGGCCCTTTAATAAAGCAACATCCTCCCATAATATGTCTCATTACAGGAAACTTTTATTAACAGAAATAGAAATAGGAAACTGGGATATTTTACAAAATATTGAAAAAGTGTTAGATACAGTTGGAAATTTTTTTTTTGAGACATCAATTTATCACCCAAATTGAAGCTGAAGTGATTACTTTAAACCAATCCTACAATAAATACTTACTAAAAGCTATTATATGCTAAACACGATTCTAGCCATAGGAACACAAGGCAGTAAAAGATAAAGGCAACTAAAACAATCCTGGAAAAAAATAAAGTTGGAGGACTCATCTTCCCACTTTGCTGTTGCTTCTGATTACTCCAAAGGAACAGTAATCAAGACAGTGTGTCCACAGCATTCTGACAGATGTGTAGATCGAT